GGATTATTGGTTGAGGGTTTCGGTTGCCGTTTAAAAGAGAGTTCCGGTTGCTGTTTATTGGGTTTCGGTTGCTGGTCGAGAGTTTAAGGCAGTTAGTTCCTGACTCGAGACAACTCAGAGGGTTTAAGGCAGTTAGTCCTGATCCAACGAGTATAAACTCTCCGGGCATCGTATTGACGCTTCTCTATTGCGGAGTTTCGTCGATAGTATGCTTTGGAGCACAACAAATCAACGTTTTTCGCAAGAAACTCGTATCAACCCTACAACCTTACACATTTGTGCCAAGGCTCTGTTCACAGGGGTCTGTTCTCGCACAAGGAGTCGACGATATTTTGGGTTTTGTGACTTTTCCTGCTCAACATTATACATCTTTCTCTCTACTTCGAGTGGAGTTTTGGTTGGGGAGCTTGCTCCCCAATTCTGCAGCGACCGAAAAACTTAAGGAAAAACTCCCACACGGCGTCAAGTGTGGGACGTTTTCGAGGCATCGCCGAGAAAATCCGAAAGCCGAATGGTTTATTGCAAGCTCCCCATCAGTAAGCTGAGCATCAGCTTACAAGATTCATGTTTGTTTTTGTTGGTTTGGTTAGTTAGAGAGCTCATTTGCTGTCCCCGCTCCGCACTCATCACCGCATAGAGGGGAGTTGCTATGGCTGCTCGTCTGCTATGGGAGGCCATATAGCGCTCCATATCTGTATTTGAGATTCCTGATGTTACAGATCGAAGGTCCGGGAGGGGAAAAGACTTTGGGCATACTGGACATTGTCGAAAGGCAGAAGGAATGCCTGCGTGCCTGCCAGTGTGGGCCATAAAATTTTGCCAGCAGATGATGGTACTTGTTATCTAGAGCCTGAGAGCAAGCTAGACTCGATTCCAGTCGCGTTTTCGGGTGTGGTTTCCACTGAAGGCTTGATCGACTGTCATCAAGACCGTCCTTGCGGAGTGATGGCAAGCGAGCCTAAGGGCAAGCAGAGTGAGGAATATAATCATTGGACAGGTGATGGTCATCTGCTGGAAGTAATGTGTAAGACGATCGACTCGGACATCCAGAAGAGAAAGCCCTGAATGACAGCTTGTCGGGATTAGAAGGGTGTTTGTCCAACCCATCGTGCTGGTGGACACTTCTGTCAGCCTCGGTGAATCTCCATTCTGATTGAAACCATTACCTAATCACCAAGGGGTGAGAAGGTATGACGATGACGTCAGTTACGCCCAGAGCAAGAACTGACGTCACTGATTTGTCAGGTGACGCGGAAACGATTCACATTTTTCTTTTTTTTTTTTTTTTTGAAGCGTTTGGAGTAATGAACTTCAGTCTGCAGAAGCATTCCAAAGAACATCCGCTGGGTGCACTGGAAGATACCAGTAAAATGCCGGGAATTAAGCACAGGGGGAAATGCCTTTATGCACGTTTTAAAACCAGTGTGGGACTCCTACAATGGTGAAACGATTCACATTTTTCGGGCCACAAAAATTTAGTATATGATTTCAGATTACAAAACAGGGGGGCATCGACGAGCTCGTCTTCCTTCTTCACTCTTCCTCCCTTCTCAGTCAAGTGCATCGAAAGACCAAATCTCCGGCGCAGAGGACAAACGATGAAAAAGTCAGCAAAACGCGGAAAGCACAAGGACAGAAAGACCACGTACAAGTAACATTGCCACCACTCACGCTAGCCACCAAGTTTCCTGTGCTCATCTTCCTTTGCACACCCCCCCATAGACGCCTCGCGAAGACTCTGATCTGGCTGTCCCAAACCCGCGCTGTTGCTGGTGCTGCTGCCGCGAAGGTTGCGGTACCGCGGTTTACGCGAGCCGTCGTTGGAAATGATTTGTCCTTGTCTTCGTCCAAGTCTGAATCCTACTGATTCGCTTGCGCATTCAGTGCCCGTTGATGAACAGCTTCGGTTTTGTCGTTGGAGAAAGGACCGCTGGAGCAATCTTTGCGGGGTTTTTTGGACCCGAGTCGGCGTAGGCTTTCTGGCAAAGATGCTCCCACCCCTTGACAAAATTGTCAACCAGAGGACGAACGTAATGGTCGATTTCCTCGGAACTCGCTTCGTCCGGCCCCAGAATGATGCTAATCCACATGAATTCAGGCCGACATCGAATGTCCTCGGGAACATTGATTGACGACTGCGAGGTAGCCGCCCCTGGCCACAAAGAACGGCTCAGTTCGGCCCGAAAGGAGAAGACGCCCACCACGCAGCTCCCACTCGATCCGCTCCCATTCCAGACGTCACCAGGACAAAAGGTTGCCGCGGAAGATAAGACAATAACCATGGGGACCAATTGGAGATCATATTTAAGCAGATAGGATTGAAGATTGAGGGTGGTGGAAAGGTCACGGTTGAGATAGGACAGGCTAAACCCGTAGAGAGAGAGATATCGCTAACGAGGCGAGGGTGAGTTGAGTTCTATGTATTATGCAATGTTTCTGCTTCGACCAAACCACGGAGTTCGTCTTTCACGTTCCGGCTTCCCAGAGCGAGGTCAACGCAGTTGATGGTGGTGCCCAAGCCCATCAATGGGATGTCAGATCTGCTTGAAACACCATTGAAAAGGAGGATACTATCGAAATTGTCGTCGCGGATGACAAGGAGGGCTCGAATTAGGCATTATCACCATGCGCTTGATCGACGCACAAACCGCCAGGCCATCCACGAAGATAACAGAGAAAGCGAGTCCAAGAAAAGCCCCGCCTGAAGATCTCCCCCAAAGTGCTGTACAATAGTGCATGGCTCGCGTCTAAGTCCATCGTGTTCCGGAAGGAGCTTGAAGTCTCAGCTGTTGCGTTCACGGCGACTGGTCGTATGTAATCGGAGTAGCTAGGTTGATTTGTCAGTAAAGTTGAAAGACTTTCAGAATCGTTTACTTGCAACCGAAAAGTTTTGGCCAAGTTGAATCTTGCTGTCGTATGTCCGATGTTGAGATCTCGCCCGAGCTGTGCCGTTGTGAGACAACTGGCAGTAGCGGCGGGCTTTGACATCAGCGCCGGGTTTGAGACGAGCGAGCTGTGCCGTTGCTGTGCCGTCACCTTGCTTTGCAAGGTCCCCGCACCGTCACAACCTGCCAGTGGCGGTGCTAATACACGCCGCAGCCAAACAACACCAAACCCAGTGGGTCCAACTGGCAACGAGTTGCATACTTGCACTCAGTCTCATTAACCATCCGTCGTTGCAGAGCTACGCAAGCCAGATCCAAGAGCAAGTGTATAAATTATATTACTAATTTTGATTTCCGAGATGTTCCGAGATTAACGTAAGGATATTTGGGGGGGTGCGCTCTGCAAGACGGCTGGAACAGCTAGACCGGACCGCGGTGGTCCGTTGACTTATCCCCGGATGCACGATCACTGCTTACCGCACTTCTGCCATGCATTCACTGCCGCCTCTCGATATTTTCCGTTGCATGTGGGTCTCCTCAACACTCTCGAGGACGCCCCAAGCTTATTCTCGGCCTGTTCTCAAAGGTAGTACACACACACGATGGGGTACCGGAATGAGAAACCCAGAAAACATGTCATAGAGGTTTTGAGGTAGGGTCTGTCACGGTCAGCGTCTACCCGGGCACCTGCGGGTCCTCACCCGCGGGTATTGACCCGGGCAGGGGGTAGCGGGTGCGGGTCACCCATCAAATATTACCCGGGCGGGTACGGGCAGCCCCCTCGCACAAGCTCAGCACTGAGCACCGCTTTTATAGGCCAAAAAATCGGGTGCCCGCGGGTATTTACCCGCAGGCAGTCTACCCGGGTGTGCCCGCTACCCGCTGAGCCATACCCGGGCGGGTGCGGTCATCGACCTCAATCGCAATTACCCGCCGGGTATTGACCCGGGTACGACCCGGGTTGCCCGTGACAGACCCTATTTTGAGGTGGCGGCTTGGAGATATCATCGTTGATATGACCGCGTGTGTATCATGAATATACAAGGAGTTGAAGTGTAGGGAAAGAATGGAGGGAGGGAAGGGGGAAAAGGAATAAGTGTCGACAAGAAAAGTCTGCTCGGACGTCCCAACCGGGGATATGTCAAACGGAGCCTGCGGCCCGGTCTAGTTGCTCCAGCCCTCTTGCAGAGCGCCCGCCCCACAAATCCTCACGTAACATCAATCATTTCGGATCAATTACGCATTTAGCCCCGAAAAACTGCCCTTTGGAATTGGCCTGTGTAGTAGCTCTGCAACGAGGGATGGTTAATGAGACTGACTTGCACTCGTATTATTCACCACCTCATTACTAATAGAGATGATGTAAATAATGTTCATTTTGTAGTAAACATTCAATCCTATACTTGATTACATCTTCTGTTTTCTTCATTTCCGCTGTGAAGTGAATCGTGAGTCGGTAAGTCCCGCGTTATCACGTCCCATCAACTTCGTGACGTGTGACGAAGAAGCGTTCGTCACAATTTCACACCCAATCCAACAAGTTCCATTCCAAGTGCGTATAACATTTTATTTCCTCTCTAGACTACTCATAGCTATAGTGAACTTCAACTTCAACTTCAACTTCAACTTCAATATGCCCCCTCTCCGCCTTGGTGCCTTCGTTTTCAGGGTGGGCGTGACATACGGCCTTCGCGCTGCCCAGCGCAAACGACCTCCTCCCTCGCCTGTGGCTGTACCCGCCAAGAGCGACGCGATTGTGCTTGATCGCGCCCGTTCTAGCGGGTATCTTTCCGCCTGCGCTCGCTGGGCAGGCGCCCACTCGCTGGGTTCGCGTTCTTGACGGAGGTCGTGGGGGTGAAATGGTCCACCAGTGCCTACCCGTTCTAGCTGGCCGTTGCGAGCACTGTTTTAACCACCAGGTGCGCTGTCCTCTGCGTTTTTTTCTTTGATGGTTGTCTAAAATTGTGTTTTTTAGCCCTTTTTCGTACCGCTCGTTCACACTCACCCTCCTCCTCTCCCCACCGTTATGCTCCTCGTGGTTGCGTTGCACGGGGTCCCAGCAACGGGACCACTTGCTTCGGTCGCTGCCTACGCTCACCAACGTCCCGTTACCCTGTTGAAGTATATAGCTCACGCGCGTCATTCTATACACGTGTATGCTTACATAGATCATCGATTCTTGCTTTTGCCCTCTACCGAGACCTCGCCGCTCTTCGCGTTTGCCTCACCGCGCCCTTTTCCTTTCGCGCCGACGCCGCCTCGCTTGCTGCGCTCAACAGGTTATGGGCCCCGGCCCCTTTTTGTCGGCGCCCGACCCGTAGCCGAGTCACGTCACCACCACGTTCCTTTTTTCCTCTCGCTCCCTACCTTCTCGACATGGGTCTTGCCCCATACCTCGTCACCACTATCGACCACATACAGGACCTCCAGCCAGACAACTTCAAGAAGCATTACCCGCTTCTCAAGCAGTTCTTCCTCGCCGTCGGAGCCGGATGGATCACCCAGGACGAAGAACCGGAGCCGCTCTCAGCCGCCAACGAGAGAATTGACAGTGAGGTCTCCTACCTCATTCTGGCGAAAACACATGAGGACTACCGCACGAAGCTCACCGAGCTTTCAACGGCCTCGTGCCCGCTGGAAGGCACTCAAGGACAACTTCATCACCCGTACCCACTCCGACAGGCTCATTGCCTTCCAACAACTCATCACCATTGACCACAACATCGAAGATCCCATCGTGCTGTATACAACACAGGTCTCTAACCTCTGCACGAAACTAGCGCATGGACCTCACCATCCCGGACGACATCAAGACGTGCATTCTTCTTGCACGCCTGAACCCCGGCATGTACTCTACGCGCAAGGATCTGGTCAAAAATGAGAAGTTCCCTTCCTATGAAGATGCTGCGGCCCGTCTGCGTTCGGACGCTCACGACAACTCTAAATCCGACCACATGATCAAGGTCGAAGATGTACCAGTGGCCTTTGGTCTTGCAGCTCGCATTCCATCTCCCCCTTCCGAACCACCACCACAGGAAGCATTCGCGAAGGGCTTCCGTTGGTGCTCCCCTCGCTCTGACAAGGATTGTTTCCGCTGCGGACGTGAAGGTCATCGGGCTCAGTTCTGCCTTGCGGACATGCCGCAAGCAGTTCGTGACTGGATCCTCAACTCCATCTCACGTCGTGAACAGGCACCAGCCCCTGCGCCTTCGAGCTATTCCCCATCGCCTCTCTGGGCCCAAGACAGCCCGGAAAAGTGAGCAAGGTCTCGCTGCCCAAGGCCCCCATGTTTCCGACGATGACAGTTCCTCCGACGATGAACCACAAATACCTTGGGAGATCCTAGACAAGAAACAAAGGAAGACGTTCAAACGCCTTGGCTTCATGCCTCCGGCAAGTGCTTCGACTGCAGCTGCTTTCGCCAGCACCAGTCGTTATGTGATCTGAATCACGAGAGCCATTCGGGTCTCCTCCACCCCGCACAAGACACGAGGTGTATCGGATTCGGTGGGAGCTCATTTTCCATCTTGTTTCTTTCACCCACTGCTCTGCGTTTTTTCTTGCACAAGACACAAGACGACATGGATTCGGTGGGAGCCTTTTGTACCCTACATACATTCTTTCGTATCCGCGCTGCTCGCTAGGTGGGAGTGTTGAAGTATATAGCTCACGCGCGTCATTCTATACACGTGTATGCTTACATAGATCATCGATTCTTGCTTTTGCCCTCTACCGAGACCTCGCCGCTCTTCGCGTTTGCCTCACCGCGCCCTTTTCCTTTCGCGCCGACGCCGCCTCACTTGCTGCGCTCAACATACCCACCGTCTGTACCTTATCCACGGACATCTCTAGAACGACATCAGTAACACGTTCAATCAAAAAGTGTCACTTGCTTGAATAAAAACCTCCTCTCCCTTTTGTTGACGCATTGGCTCACTTCCCGCACGTGGGGCGCCTAGGTGACCAAGCTCACCAGTCCGTGGGGGTATCACGGACTGGGAGGGCGTGATCGTTTCCGCCTGGCCGTATTCGCGCTATCCGGGCCACCCCCGCCTCATTCTTCTCCCTCCTAATGGGGCGCCACCAGACTGTGAAGATTATCGCTTGGTGTCGATCGTTGATCATGAGATGGTGAAGTTTGCGAGGTTCAGCGGGTTAGTCTTGCTTGTTGTCCTGTTACTAACGTTCCCAGTCGTTTTTTTTGAAGCCCCAAGCTGGTTGGAGGCAAGTAGCTATTATCACGGTTGATTAGCGACACCCAGGAAGAAAACCAGTATACGCACCACGACACTTGCGCTGACAACGTACCAGACGATCCCTTGACCAACTACAATCCGGCAACAACACCCGTCTTGTCTGACCCTTTCTAACTGCGCGCAGTCGCTACGGGGTCCTTAAAGTTAACGCGGGATAGCTGACTAAGCCTGCTGCGATTTCGAGTGCCCAGCCGACAAGATACTCAGCAAAGGCCGGGGTCAACAAAAGCGTCCGTGTCGTGCGGGCGCCAGCAACTATAGTGACGATGTCAAAGGGGATACGGATGAGGGCGTCGTCCACTGCTGACTTCGCAAACTCGGAAGATCAGGGCATATGAAGGAAGCCAACAAAGTACCCAGCAAACGCCGAGGTCGAGAAGAATGCCTGCCCGTGCGGGCAACAGTGACCATACCATGTGAAGGGGGTACCCAGGAGGTCGTAGTCATTGCTGACTTCGCCCGCACGGAAGAGCAGGTTATAATAGCGGCGCTAACTGTTGTCGGCGACTACAGTCCGAGCGCCACAGTATTGAGGCGTTGACCAAGCAGGCGACCGAGTCTTTTCCTAAGGGGGGCTGTGTGAGACCATAACAGGAGCAAGCGAAAGAGGTGGGCGGTATTCTTTTTTCGTCAAGGGCACTGATCCGCATGGTTAGTCCCAGTGACCGACGCTCCTCCCGCCCGTCTTGCTAATTTCAATCTCAACACTGGCGGTGTCGACGAGTGGTGCGTTTCTATCTCGCATGCAGCTGGCGACTTGGTGGTCTTGCGAGGTCTCGCTGAGTTGGCGTTAGCCTTGTTAAGTCCATCTATCGCAAACCAAGCAGCCATTTGGAGACTTGGAAGGTGTGATTTGACGCTGGAGCTGAGTGGGTCGCTTGCCATTATTGTTGTGGCGATTGAAACCTTCTCATTCTGGTTTCTACAACCCGCCAAGAAGTCAACCAAGTGTCGGATCTTCATGTCCACCAACAGGCAGCGTCTTTGACCCTTTCCTGGTTTCCACAGGGGGACGACGATGAGGGGAGTGAAAGAAAGAGGTTGACAGTGTCACAGACCATGTGCGCTGATATATATCAGGACAAGAGACTGGTGAGAGAAAACATCACATACCATGCAGTGGATCGTCAGCGAGGATTTAGCGTGATTCATTTAGCCCGAGATTACAGTTATCAGCGTTGAACATTGGTTGGGTGAAGAAAGACTGCAACTAGTTTTTGTGCCCTCTGAATGTCCTTGTAAAGGCCTTGCTGTGTTAAGATAAGTCGGAAGTTGCCAAGAAATCCCGATCATAACTGTCACAGTGATCCTTGATGCCAAAGAAGCTGCAGGGGAATCAGCTTCGCGGGGATAAAGCTATTTGGTACACCGGGTGTGACAGTACACCGTGCCCCAAATAGATGATCGTCTATTTGGTACACTGTTGATGATTGATGATTGATGGATGTGACAAGTGTGACGCGCAAATCCTCAATCGTATAGATCTGCAGAATTTGAAAAATTTTCACCTCCCTTTGCCATGTCCTCTGCTAGCTTTTCTGCTGACGCCTTCAACCAGTATATGGTTGCTGATCCAAAGGAGCTTTTTTCTCCTCAGTGGTTTGCACAACTCACAATTGATGCAGCCAGCCGTTTTGTAGCCAACAACCAGCTTCCTGTGGTCTTGCCTCCAAAAGCGATCCGGAAGTGGGAGTATAGCCCTGATATTCCCACATTTCAGAGTCGTATTGCCCTTCATGAACAACTTCCTTGCCTTGCCGACTTGCAGCCGATCACCTCTTCGATGCAAGCTGCATTCAATCATCAGAGTGCACGGTCTGTCTTTGTCTGGATTGGACAGGAGTGCTTTCATTATGGACTAGCAAAGGTATATTTTCAACACTTCAAGTATTATATAAACCAAAAATTAAATTTTTAGATCCGGTTAATCCAGAATTTAATCAACCATCTTGATTCCCTTCAAGCTATTGCGCAATTACTCTATCGAGTGATATCAGCTTCACTTCTCAGCCCTCCATTGCTTGAAGAATTCAAGTCCTGTGGATTCTTGGAGGCTCTTTCTGGCTTCCATGTCACAAATATTCCTCTGTTTGATCTTGGATGTCTCCTTGGAGAGCACTGGCTTACTGAAGACGTGGTTAACACGATCGAGGAGATGCTATACTTCCGCCATGCTGTAGTCACACCCCACGATGATCCTTCCTTTGTGATACTCCCCACATCATTCTTCAGTGACTGTCGGCGTCTACTCGCTGCTGACACCAACCCAAAGTATTCTCAAGAGCTACTCAACCTGCGAAATCGGGTCCGAAGTGGATCCGTAACATCAATCGCTTTTGTCATATGGACTAACAATCACTATATTGCGGTGACTCACGTTGCGGGGGAGGCAACGTGAAGTTGGTGACTCACTACATCTCGGTGTGCCATCTGACATTCTTCCGGTCCTCTCCTGGGTTTTCGATGGGCTCCCTCAGTTCAAACCCCTTGCCACAGATACCACAATTACATCTGGGGTTATCTGCCGCCAACAGACAGTTGCCGGCGGAGGCAGCTGTGGTGTAGCGGCTCTCAACTTTATCGAGCAGCGAATGTCTACTGGTTGTGTCCCTTGGCACTGTGATCAAGCAGCCGACTTCCGTAATCATCTGCTACAGCAACTACTAGTTTGGCACCTTACTGCCCGAAAAAAAAATACGGTATTTTGCATTTTTAACTCAAATAATCACACCGTACCAACAGAAATTAGATATTCCTGGATTGGACCGAATTATGTATTCAACAAAATATTGAAGCACCCACTGCTCCTATGGATCTCCACGATGTCGCAACTGGCTATCGTGATTTTAACATGTTTCGCCTGCGAAAAAATGTGAGTGGAGTTTGTTATTTCTGCTGCGATTGTTGTTGACTTGATTTAGAGTGACCATCCAGTCTTCAAATGGTTGGAGATCATGGAAGAACAGCCTCGACTCGTTCCACAGCTGTCCTATCTTCCATCAAAGACACCAAAAGTCCCACCGATTCACCATCTGAAGCCACGGTCCTCTCCCATCACATTTCCTCTGGCTCCGACCCACCCCGACCATCGTCCACGGCCTCCTTCGCCCGCACAATCACCGATCCGTCAAGACCCTCCCAACGATCACCTTGGGACAGAGCCTGCGACGCCGCTCAGGCCTTCTGCACTCTACGTCGGCAGTTACGGACGACCAGTATATAGTTGGCGCCCTAGCAGGCGGACCCTTAGAGTTTCTTCTCTTTGGATCCTCCCCTGCTAGGTCGGTCCCTCCGTGTATTTCCTGTAGTCTTATTCACTCTTTGGATCCTCCCCTGCTAGGCTTTCGTCGGAGTCTCCAGGGTTGCCCTTACAGTGTTGAAGGATAGAACTGACAGTGTTCACCAAAATGCCCGGAGAAAAGCATAATGGTGCTTTGCTCCACCGCATGAGCATCGTAA